CAAGAGAAAGAATTGCTGCATTGCAGCAACCTAAGTGTTTGCGGTAAGAGCCATCCATTCGGAAGCACCCTTGTATGTTACCTTCTGCGAAGCTGCTTCTATGTTCTGCTGTCCTGAGTCTCACCTGTCCTGACATGTTGCAAGAATGGTTTATCATTTACCAGCAAGCTTCTGTGGTCAGACAGGGACTTGACCTCTGATGTCCTGAGTCCTAGATCAACACAGTAGCTGTTGCACCACACCCGCCACCAAACGCACTCAGGTGTCAGATCTAACCGAAAGGCTACAAAATACAGTAAGTGCAAGCTTCCAGAATCTCCAGCTCTCTTCCTCAATCTAAGAGTCACCAAAAAAGGGATCCCGAGATCTCAGAAGCTTGCACGGGTCTATGCTCTTCTTCTTCTTGGCCTCATGAAAGTCCCACCCGTACGGTATGGCTGTGGAGATGCTACTTAACCCGGGGGCTAATTAACCCTTTCAGGGCGGGCTTCGGCCGGAGGGAACAGGAGCTGCACCTCCCGGCTTTGGCCACGAGGGGGTCTCCTCGCGCGGCTCCGCGTCCGCCCAAACGAAACCAAACAATTGCAAGGACACGAGGCTGGCCGGAGCTTGCGGGCGAGCCGGGGAGGTGGGGGGGGGGAGAGAGAGAGAGAGACGGAAGAGTCAAGACTTCCTCTCGCCTCTCCCCTCTCTGATTGGCTTGGGGAGGTTATGAAACCCTTGAATGGGGCGTCGCGAGCCACCTTGGCCGCAAAAAAAAAAAGCCACCCGGTTCAAAAAAGCGGCGCTGCCGGCAGGCGAAGGCTCCGCGGAGGGAGGCGAGGCGAGGCGCCGGGTGAGGGGACACCACCAGCAGCAGCAGCATGAAGTCGGCCGCCGTGGTGCTGGCGGGGCTGCTGGTGCTCGCCGCCTATTATGTCTACCTGCCGCTGCCCAGCACCGTCTCGGACCCGTGGCACCTCATGCTGCTGGATGCCTCGTTCAGGGTGGCTCAGAAAACGGTAAGGAAAGGTAGCCCGAGAACGGATCATCCCTCCTGCAGCCCGGGCGGGGTGCCGTCCTCCTGTTTGTTTGTTTTTCCCCTCGCCTTCCATTGCCCTCCCCGTCGGTCGGTCTGCCAGGCGGGCAGGGGCGAGTGGCTTTGCCCGCCGGGCGATGCGCAAAGCGGAAATGCCTCGCCGGCTGGCGGGTTTTTAATACCTCCCTCCCCCGGCCGGCTTCCCTCAAGAGGAATTATCGGCGGGGGGGTTGGATGCAGGGCGCCTGGCAGCTCTTTGATGGGGATGCGGCACTCGAGCCTCTGGCGAAGGGCGGGCAGGCGGGCGAGGGAGGGAACCGGGGCGCCTCGAAAGGGCTCCGCCGCCGCTCCCCCGTTTCTCCCTTCAGAACTCCCCGCGCCCACCCGCCCCTTTAAACCGGGCTTGGCTTCGGTTCCTAAAAAGCGACACACGCTCTCCCCCCTCGCCTCCGTCCGTAGAAGCGGGGCGGAAGGGGGGGGCCACCGCAGGGGAACCCCCTTCGCCCTTCGGAGCGCAAGGCCGGGTTCAGCCCTTTGGGGCGTTTTTTCCAAGACCCGGCAAACGATGCTGTCCGTCCTTCTCTTCCCCCTTCCCCCCCCTCCCGCGCTTGGTCCCTCGCTGGCTCCATCTTTTGGGGCTTTATCTTTCAGACCCGCCTCAGCCTCTTTCTCTCTCCTCTCCCCCCCTCATCAGCTGCAGAGGAGTGGGCGTCAAATGCGCAGCTCTGAGGCCATCTCGGAGAGAAGGGCTCCTCTCTGGGAGGGCGGTGGTTTAGTAAGGCTGCCCCCCCTCCCCAGGGTGGGGGAGGGGGCTGGGAGACGGGGCGTGAAGTATAAGGGGAGCCGACCTGACCTGACCTTCGGTGACTTTCAGGGGCTTGGCCAAACGTGAGTTGCAGAGTTGAAGGCAACACACACACACCCACAAGACAGTACAAGGGGCATCGTTTGATCCCTCTAGAAATGCACTGGCCTTCTAGGCCCCCCAAATAGGTCTACTCATAAGTAAGCTTTGATGAGGGGATTTCTGTGGAACCTAAGTCATTGGCTGAAATTTCTGTTGCTCCCCATAGTGAATCACCCTCAAGTAGGCCTGTTGAATCAATGGGGGATTTGGGAAGTCAATTCCTCCATAAGTTCCCTTGATTCCAATAGGGCTACTCTTACTGTGAACCTCTTTAGGATAGTAGGTCACAGTTAGAATTTCCCCTATTTGAATCAATGGGTCTTACGGAAGAGGTGACAAACCAGGTTCCCACTGATGCAGTGGGCCTCTCCGTGTTAAGCAACCGGATTTTGGCCAGTGGCTTAGAATTAAATCCTGTTGGAATTCCCCCTGCAAAGCTTACTTGTGAGTAGGCGTACTTAAAACTACATTCTTTTGAGTCCGGAAAAACTCAAAAGAACATGAAGGCCAAAGTAAAAAGATGTGACAGGTATGGGTAAAATATCTTGATATGATATTATCCAGTTAGAGCAGTGGACCAAGTACTGGGTAAAAAGAAATGATAAACATAGGGGATTTACAAAATATGAAGAAATTATAATACAAAAGAAAAGCACAGGTGAAAACAAGGTAGTGGAAGGAATAGTAAAACAACAACAACATATAATTGGAGGCAAGACCTCTGGGCTGGTTGAGGACCTGAATGCAGCTGCTTGCTGCTCTCTCCCACTCCCATTTATGAAATAAATGCAAGTGTATTTCTTCTTTACCACTCCCCAGAATTTGAATTTTTCAGAAGTGCCTTAGGAGAAAGATTTTGTTTGTTTCCCTGCGTGGATTGTTACCTGCTATACTCACCTGCAAAAGAATTTGTAAGCTCTGCTGGCCAGCCATCGTCTTTCAGTTTTCTGTTTACGTCTCTCTCTCTCTCTTTCTTTGAATGTTGATAAGTTGTTTCAAGGACACAGATAACGGAACCAACAAAACTAAAATTCTTAGCTTATATGTACTTCCTCAACTGTGATATTTATGATTCTGGAAAGACTCTGCCTGACTGACCATCTGCTCCTTAATATTTACAACTTGGAAATATGATTATTAACCAGCTGGACACTCCTAACCCCTGTGCTAAATAGTGACTTAAATATGCAGAGAACCCTGAAAAATAGTTATAATTGCTGAGATTGTTGGAGTTCATCTTGAAGACCTGCTCTGCGATCTAGGTGCCTAAGGGAAAGTTGGAGGATTGGAATAGAAGACTCACTATCAATTGAAATCCTCAAAGGGAAAAGGAGAGAAGAAAGAGGAGGAAGAAGGGAGGGGGAAAATTGTTTAAAGACTAACATTAACTAACAGGTTAATCTTTTTTCCCTCCCAAACTAATAATATTAACAAGTAACTAGTAACACATATTCAGAGTTTCTGAACTCTTAACCTAAAGCCTGTGGTATTTGGATACAAAATATTCGTTTTTACTTCCCTTTTTCTTAACATTTTCATATTCCAGCTGTTAACAAACTTATAGTGCAAGGGAGAAAAACATTAATTCTGTATATTATTTTCTGTTATCTATGTCATGCTATTACTAAAGTGTGATTGAAACAACCTGTTAATAAGAATACCTGTGCAACACTAAATATTGAGAATTGAAATGCTCTGTTGAATACTGAGTATTGCCAGAGAAATGATTTCCAATAAGGGAAGTAAAGTAGTTAAGTAATTGATTTATAACCAGAAAAGAGAAAGTATTGACAGTGTTGCTATTTACAACTGGAATACTAAATATTGAGAAACTGATATAAGAATGACACAAAGATCTAGAATTAACAAAGTCACTTCAGAGGAAGGAGATGATTTTGGAATATGTTCAGTAAATCTTTTTGGGGGGGAAACAAGATTTGATCAACATGAAAGTAATGCAAATATCAGAGCAAATTTTAAAAATCTGAGAAAGAAATGTAAGATGGATATTTTAACCCTGAAACAAGAACTAATGACAGGATTAACTGAAATAAATAAACAAGTTGAACAGTAGGCAGAAAAAAAATTGATACACAAAAATTGGATAGCAAGAATTAGAATTGGCCCAAGAAGTTCTAAACCAACAGTTACAAGCTGTCCTGTACCTCCAATATTTAAATTGAAAGATTTAAATATTGGAGGTACAGAACAGAAACTATAAACTGAAATTCAGAAACATCCCAGAAGACGTTGGAAAAACAGATTTAGAAGAGGAACTCTCTACATGAATACAAGACCATATTTTGATTGAAGAAGGACTACTAGACTGCGACCAGAACTTTAGAATTAAGTGTCAAGAGGTATCTTAGTTAAGATTACAAAAACTAGATACCTTTATATTATTAAAACAAAGAACCAACCCACTGGAAGTGAGTGGGATAGAAATACAGATATTTTTCAAGATCTCCTATCAGACACATTGAGGGAAAGAAAAACATTTGACTTTCTTTCACAAGAACTTAAAAAAACAAAAAATAAAATATTTCTGGAAAATTCCCTTTGCACTGGAAGTGATGTTCAAAAAGGGGAAACATATTATACTCAACCTAAATCAAGCCAAACAATTATTTGAAGAAATTTCAAAGAGAGATAATCCAAAGACAGCACAAGAATTAGAAAAATCAGGAAATTCATTACCTAGGAACCAATCTAAGATTGATACCATGGGAGATCATAATCCTGTAAAGAGGACATGGAGGGAGGAAGGAACTAGGAGAAGATAAGAGATTAAATGATAACTTACTGATGGAGGAGGATATTCTTAAAAAGAAAAAAAAATACTTTTTTGTGTTTTATTTTTTATTTTTATTTTTCAAAATAAATATAGCAGATGAACTGATTACAACTGTTTGGGACACGAGCAAAGTATAAGAGGATGTCCATTGTGGTAAAGAAAAAAGAGAAAACAATTGAACAAACAAGAAAATTAATAGGTACAATCGGCCTGTTAGAAAGACAAAAGAGTGATGCCAAACAGTGAGAGAAATCAAGAAGCTTAAAGGTCAACTGGATCTTTTATTTATTTTTATTTTTTTTATTTTATTTATTTGATTTGTATCCCGCCCAAACTGAAGAGATGCAAAAGAAACTCTTATCTCTCAAGCAGAAATATTTTGAACATGCAAGTAAAGCAGGTCGATTTTTGGCACAATGTTTAAGAAAGGAAATGGAGAGAAAAAAGATAACAGGTGTGAGAACAATAAAGGGGATCACATATATGGAAAAAGAAATTCAAGAACAATTCATCTCCTATTTTACACAGTTATATAAGAAATAAAAGCTGTCAGAAGAAAGAATTGAAGAATATAAATATTCCAAAATTTTCACCCGAAAATAGTGACATTTTGAATCAAAAGATAACAATCCAAGAGATATACCAGGCAATAAGAAATCTGGAAATGGACAAACCACCAGGACCAGACAGATTGACAGCAATCTATTACAAAAGATTGCTTTTGGAACTTTACAAGGAACTTGTAATGCCCCTAGAAAAAGTAATGAACCAAATAAGTGGAACAAAAGAACAGACATCATCTTGGCAGGAAGAATATATAACATTGATCTACAAAGAAGGTAATGATGTACTACAACCACAGTCATACGAATCAATCTCCCTACTTAATGTGGATTACAAAATCTTTGCCTCAGTAATGGTGATCAGACTCAAGAAATGTATTACCAAAATAATACACTCTGATCAGATGGAATTTGTTCCTAAGAGATTCATGTGAGATAATGTAAGATTTGTAATAGACACGATAAAGTATGTAGAAAAAATAACAACAAACAGGATTTATGTTCCTGGATGCAGAGAAGGCATTTGATAATATTTCTTGGAACTTTCTAAGTAAAGTTTTGCAACATCTTGAATGTGGTGCAAAGTTTGGAAATAGGATTCAAGGAATTTTCAGAAAATAAAATGCAAAAATATTAATACAGTAAATGGGGTTTTAACAGAGGGATTTATTATTGAAAAGGGAACTAGACAAGGTTGCTCATTATCACCATTGCTGTTT